AGTCTTTCCCACGCCCTCTGCCACATAGATGGCTTTCTTACTAATACGCTGAAACGTGTCAGGTGTTCGTCTCTGAGAGCTGCCCTCTGGGAGCTGCCTGACGCAGCAGTCTGGGTTGGCCATCCCCTGAGGGTGGGTTTCCCCGGAAGCAGGCATGGAGCTTGGATTCGATCACAGGAGGCTGGTGCAGGAGGTGATACCAGGAAACGCTGTGAGGGGCTAGAGAAGAAGAGGAAGCCTATAAAAGATGCATAAAGTGGTGTGGCGAGGTGGGCAGACGCGGCTGGGACCCGCTGGGGAGCACGGGGCATCTGTACTTCGGAGCTGCCCTGTGGGCGGGGCGTGCTCAGCTGCCCGGAGCTGTGGCTCAGAGCTGCGTGCATCTGACGCTGTGCAGTGTGAGCCGTAGTTGTCCTCCGAGCCTCGTGCACAAGGTCTACTGGAGGTCTGCCGTTGCTCTCTCCTTAGGGATTCTCGCTGTCTCCTTGTACTAGGTCCCTATTTTGTGGATTTCATGTCTATCTATCCCTGTCTTGATTTATACTTGCTTTTTTAGAAGAATTCCTCTGGAATTATCTTGTGAAAAAAACCTTGCGACTTCCCTGTGTGTTTGGGAGCGCCACTACTTTAGCTTTGTACCTGGGTGATAAGTATAGGTTGGTAGATCACTTTTTCTAAGAACTTTGAAGTCACGTCTCACTGGTTCCCTAGAAAGTTTGTTTGTTGCTTATGTTTTTGTCATGTTCGTGGCCTTCTGATTTTTGCTATTTTGTGTGTAACCTATCTTTTCCTCTCTGAAAACTTTTAGGAACTTCCTTTGTTTTCAGTATTCTGAAATTTCATTGGTCATCCTCAGAGTGGGCCTTCTGATCCATTGTGCTGGACCTTCAGGGGGCCTTTTTATCCTGTAAACATTGTTCATTAGTTCTGCAAGATTTTCTTGGGTTTATAGAATGTTTTTATTTCCCTTCCATTTCTGTACTCTTCCTGTTTGGAAATTTAATTGTTCAGCTATTAAATCTCCTGGATTAATCATGATTTTGTACTTTCTTTCCTTTTTTTTCATTTTTTTGATCCTTTAAATTTTTTATGATCTTTTTATCATGTGTAGTTTTGTTGATTTTTAAAATTTAAATTTAAAGATTTGAAGTTATTTTTTATTTTGTGAATAAAGTATCTTAGATACCTGAGAATATTAAATGATAGTTATTTTTCCCACCCTAAAATTGTTGCTTATCTGGTGACACTGGCTGTCCCATTTAGATGTAAGACAGTAAAGCTGCTTGTGGGTAGATGGGGCATCTTACCTGTAACAGCTGCCTTCCAGGGTGATCACTTTGGGATTATAGCACTGATTGCTTCCAACTATGAGCATCTCCAGCCCTTTTCTCTCCCACACTTTTTGGACTGCTCATCGAGCAATCTTCCAGTTTCTCTGCCCAGAGGTTGCAAACCTGATGACCAGTTCTTTGGGAGACAAACGGGCAACGCAGACTGGTGTATTAGTCAGCTTAGCAGTACTGTAATGAAATACTTGACACATGTTACTTGTGAAGTAAAGAGAGATTTATTTAGCTGAAACTTTTGGATTCTCAGGGTCCAACATTGTGTGACCCCCATTGGTTTGTCCTCTGTTGAGGGAATAGGTGGAGCTAGTCATGGTAGGAGCGTACGTAGGAGCAAATGGTCGGATCTTGAGCTAGAGCAGAGAGATAGGCATACACACAAGGTACTGCAGTTACCTTGGAGGGCATGCCCCCAACACCCTACGATCTCCTATGGGCCCAGCTCCCAAAGCTCTGTCATCTCACAGTAGTGCCAACCTGCAGACCAACCACTCAATGTATGGACCCTTCGGAGACACTGAGGGTCATTACAGTCATGTCAGCTGATGAGTGATTGCCTCACAACGCATGCGGTGACTCTTGTGGAACCCTAACGGCGGCAGAGTCTTGGTTCGACCCCCAGTAACCCCCTGCAAATGCCCTGTTTAGTTGTCACTTTCCAACCAAAGGAAAAGTATTCCAGTTCTTATTCTCTGTTGTGCTTCACAAGGCTTTCAGCCTCTGAGCAGTCTGTCTGGCCGGACCACTGGTGCTTCTTGTCTTCTCCAAGGTAACTGCTCTTGCTTCTTGCCCGCAGCAGACGTACTGGGCGCCTCCTGTATGCGCAGCTCTAAGCTGGTCCTCACTGGGAGAAGCTCAGATCAAGCTACCAGGGTCCTGCTGCCATGGACCAGGGAAAGGTTGTTATTGAGAGGCTGTTTCTTCAGTAAACCAACTGCACTAGGTAGTGATGGTGGGAAAGTAAAGCTGGGGCATCCTGAGAGATTTTCACAGTCTATATGAAACACTAAGGCTGTGTGGACAAAAGCGTGGTTTGAAGGAGAGGAATCAGACCCTCCTAGAGGACAAAGGATGTAGGTCTCCACAGTCACTTACAGTTCGGTGACACAATTCAGGCTGAGATCACATTATAAGAATTTGAATGCCTTATATTGTATTTTCCAGGCCGCTCTCGGTTTGGTAAGGTACTTCTTCAGAAAGTCGTTCTGAAACAGTTGTCAGAATATTTACAGACGAGTACTTCAGAGAACTGATGATGTTTTTCAAGAACAAAGAAGTTTGACTAAACTAGGCTTCTTAATAAAATATAATGAATTCGTGTTAGAATTTAAATATCAGACTCTTCAAATATGTGAGTTAATAGTTTATTTAGATTATCTAAAGAAGTAGATAAACTAATAGAATATGGCTTTCTTCCTCCTCATGAAGATACAGAATGTATCCAAAATTGTTAAGTAATTTGTAGAGGAATACAGCTCTTTACCTGAATGACACTCAAAATGAGCAATTTGAAAGTCATCCATAAAATATTACACTGTTTAAGATTGCTTGCAGAAGACCATCTCAACAGAACAAGGACACAGTGCAACCTGACAGCTAGCTTTCATGAAAGGAATATGTTGTAGGGTGTGAAATGTTATCAAAACAGTATTTGAAGGGTTAACCACTGTGTGTGATTTCATGGGTTTTCTTTTTTCTCCATTTACTTTTTTCCTTCATTCCATTCTGTCCTTTTGTCACTTCTTACTGTCTGATGTTTGTGTCTTCATATTTGTGCTTTTCCACTCTTTCCACTGGTGTCTTGTACGTAACATCTATGGTAGTGGTTTTCATAGCTCCTGCCACTGCCTGAGCGATGCCTCACTGCACTGAGCGCTGTGCGGACAGGGTCCGTGCCTCCTGGATCTCCGATGTGGCTGAGCGCTGTGCGGACAGGGTCCGTGCCTCCTGGATGTCAGATGTGGCTGAGCGCTGTGCGGACAGGGTCCGTGCCTCCTGGATCTCAGACATGGCTGAGCGCTGTGCGGACAGGGTCCGTGCCTCCTGGATGTCAGATGTGGCTGACTGCAGAAGTTCTGCAGTTATGCTCTAACGACAGTGTCTGCTCAAAACTGTGTGTTTATAGGGGGTATGGCGTGCACTTCTATAATCCTGGCACTCTGGGAGGCTGAGGCAGGAGGATTACAAATTCAAAGGCAGCCTGGGTAGCTTAGTAACCCGGTCTCAAAATTTAAAAATAAATGAATAAAAAGAGTTAACGATGTAGGCTTAGTATATCCCTGGGCTCAGTCCTCAGTACCACAAGAAAAAAAGGATGGTTACAAGAGGCATTTTTAATGTTTAAAATTTTGCATGTATGATATGCTTTTCTTTGGAAAATGAAGAAAAAAGTGAATTTTACATTTCTGCAGTCACCACCAGCTTTGCAAGTGCGGTTGGCCCAGCTGGCACACACCGTATGGTCCTGAGCTCGATGGCCCTTCCGTCCGGGAGCCTGTGCGGGTGCCCAGTCCACAGGCTGGGCAGTGCCATGTTCCTGTGAATCTGTCGTCTTGCCCCTCGGCACTTAGTACTTAGCCTTCGCTCTAGCTGCTTTTAAAATAGACGTTACCCTCAGTTCTTACAAACTTTGTAAAACCTGGGACCTTCAATGTGCTGCTCACTTTAAATTCCCCCGGTGAAGCTGGGGAGTCCTCTCTCCTGGGAGCTGTCCTTGTCTCCAGTCTAAGCTTTTAAAGCCCAGCGTTTAAGTAAAAGCCTGTTTGAACTGTATATTCAAGGTCAGATTTCAGCCTGTGAGTGCTAGAACCGCCTTGCGCTGTGACTCTGGGGGGGTCTTCGTGCACATGGCCTCCTGGGTGCAGCCTGGATGAGTGTGTGACCCTGACTCCAACAACGGACCCCGGGAGCCCAGCTGCCCAGCCTCAATTGAGCAACAGACCTTAGCAGTCTATTAATAAAGCTGCTTCTCCCACTGAATGGTAGCTGTTTTGTAGCACCTTCTCTTGGAAAACTTAAAGCAAAAGAGAAATTGAAACACTATCTTTGATGCACAGAACTAAGTTTCAAATGCAGTTGTGTACAGAGAAAGAATTAAATATGTTTAATGACCACACCATTTTTGTGCTTCATGGATCTGTTTATGGTCGTAATTTGAGTTGAGAAATAATTTGGAAAATATTCTATTTTATACACAGTATAAGTAGAACACGGCATAAACACACTGCGGATATACCATTGATTCCTTACTTAAATCCATCGACTCTTAGAATGGGCATATAAAACTGGAATGAAGCTTAGAGGTCGTCGCATAATGTATGCGTTCACCAGATGATCCCCTGGTGTCGTTCAGTACACAGAGTGGGTCACTGCCGAGGCTGCAGCAGTTAGTGGAGGGGAAAGGAAAAGTGGGCGTGCTGCCTAACCCGGCCTCGCTGAACGGCGTTTCTTTCAGTTCCTCCTAGGGTTTTAAGGGGCAGGAGAGTGTAGGGTGCTAAGTGTGTCCGTGTCCACGTCTCACAGAATACGGAGACTGAGGAAAGTGAGGGTGTGGTGTTCCATAGTCGGACAGCTTTGAGGCCAGGGTCTCCGTCCGGCCTGTTCCCACTGTGCCGAAATGCCTCCTTTGAGAGCCTGATCTTCCTTTGCTTTCAGCCTCCAGAGCTAAGCTCAGCATGATCAACACGATGTCAAAAATCCGTGGCCAGGAGAAGGGGCCGGGCTACCCGCAGGCGGAGGCGCTGCTTGCAGAGGCCATGCTCAAGTTCGGAAGGGAGCTTGGAGAGGAATGCAATTTCGGTAACAAGCGCGTTCTCTCGTTGTAATCCACTTGGTCGTCCATTGGGGTTGTAGTGCTGGTAAGAAACGCGTAGGAAGCTAGTGAAATTATCTTCTGTTTCAGTCCTGGTTTTAGATCTTACGCATTTGGGCCCAACATTTGTTTCTAGAATTGCTTCATTATTTTTAATGGGATTTATCTCAGGAGTGCTTTTTTCCCCGATGAACTCCGGTCCCTATGCCAGCCCTGGCCGATACCCCGGCTTCCTCAGCACCTTCTGTCGGACGTGCTGGCAGGAAATGGGCTGGAGGCCGAATGAGCAGTCTCTGCTGCAACACCCTGCTCTGTGGGTTTTCTCCGAGGTCTGTGCTTGTTCGTATGTGGTCCTTGCCGTGCTGCAGCTGAGGCTGTGTTCCTTCCCCCGCTCTGCTCTGACGTTCAGTTACAACACTGAACATCTTCTGTCTTCGTCCCCTCGTGGTGTAAGGTCTCGCCAAATGGTTATCCTCCCTGACTGAACCTTGGTCCTTGTTTCTGGTATTTGCTCCTGCTAAACACAGTGACCTAAAACTCATCCTATGTTAGGGGGAGCTGGTTCTCATAAGGGAAGGAAGAGAGCCTATCAAATTATGTTTAAAGGAAAAAGAAAACATTGCATTTTTGACAGTAAGGACATTCCTTCTTAGGAGGGGCATGGAGTCTGGTTCCCAGAACGAACTGTGTAAGTGAAGCAGACCCTGCTCTCTGGGGTGTTGTGTGTTCCCTCTTGTCTGTGTTCTTCTCAGAAGATGAGTGTGTCCCCTGTGTGTTTTCCGTCTGCAAAGGCCCTTGTATTGCAGATGCGTCCTGTCTTTGTTCTTTAAGGTCCAAGAGCTTCATTCTCTCCCTCTAGGTCCAGCACTTGGTGAGGTGGGGGAGGCCATGCGGGAGCTTTCAGAGGTGAAAGACTCGTTGGACATGGAAGTAAAGCAGAACTTCATTGACCCCCTTCAGAACCTTCATGACAAAGATCTGAGAGAAATTCAGGTGTGTGTATCAAGGACTCTGCAAAGGAGCAGCTGAGGTGGTATAGGAAGCATTTTGTTTAGTTTGGTGTTCATAACAGTGGGCACGTGAAGTGTAAGACCTCCCCGCAAGACTAACAGAAACCAGACATGGTATTCCTCACCTGCTGTTCTGCCTTTGCTTTTCAGAGTGTTACATGGGTTTGAAATTGTTTCCTCCTATAGGTAATGTCCTTCATATGTAAAGAAGCAATTTTATTAATTAGTATGATGTGCTGAGCTGATGTGATAACTTAAAATGCTAGTTGTACTAGTTGGTAGCTTAAATAAATAGTTTTTACATCACTCTTAAATATGTATTTTCATGATTGTTGTGACTAAGGAAAAACAGCCAACTACCCTCTTTGTAAAACACAGAAGAGTTGAGCTATTTGTAATAAATGAAGTTCAGCTGGCTTTGTCTCTAACTGGGTGTGTAATATTTGCTCATTCATTTATTCATCAGAAATTTGTTGAACTTGTCTGACACTTGATTCTGTCGGCTGATAAATGGCCTGACATACTTGAACTCAGGTTCCCGTCAGTCTAGCTAACATTGTCATTGGCTAAGTGGTAGACTCACCCTAAATCTGAAGTGTAGCTCTGACCCAGTGCCCTACCCTAAAGCTGGCCGTAAGTTCAGATGTTGTCAGAGTCCCTTCCAAAAGAAGAGACCTCCATTTGGAGCAGAGGGAGGGATCAGAGGCAGGGAGTGTCCGGTGGTTGTGTACCCTCTTCCCGGCTGGCTCTCTGTCACTCCCGGCTCTGTTTTTGTCTCCTTCCCTTTCACTTCTCTTAACCGGGCACAAGGGAAGATCCAGCTTTTGCTCCGTCCGATTAGTCATGGAAGACCCCGGCACTCCGGGAAAAAATGCTTTTTCAGTTTGGGAAACTGCTTTTCTACCTGACCACCAGGGATGAGAGGCGGAGGCTGGAGACCCTTCCTGGGGTGCCACAGGGGACTACAGCTCAGTGTGGACCCTGAGACAAGTACCTTCAGAGTCACCCCTGCAAGTTAGGTTTGATGATAGAGTTGCGTCAGGTGGAAGGTGGACGCTGTGACTGGGTCCCTGAAAGCTGCACCAGTCAGCTGGATATGAATTCCTAGACTTGGCCTGGATATTCTGATTCAGTTGGTTAGGAATTCATATTCTTAGTACAAAATTTAAGTGATTCTTAAATCACTGGATGATTCAAAAAAACGGGAGTACCATTCCTTCTCCTTTTACTTCAGGACGGCATTTTTCCCCTGCTTTCTCCTGAAGATGAGAGTGTGGGACCCCGTGAATGTGTACTTTAAATATGCGTAGGGTATGCACACACACTCCCTGCTTGCCACTGGGAGGGGAAGACTCAGTCCAGCTCGGAGCTGGCCTGGCGAAGCCGGAAGATAAAGGCCGTTGCTGTGACCCACAGTTTCTTTCCCGTGCTTGACGGTTTTCAAGGGTGTTTCTGCACACTCAGTGCCTCGCTGACGCGTGTCTGCGTTTCTCCGAGGACGTGCGTTTAAAAACGTCCCGCCTTAGTTCAGAGTCAAATAGCACGACGGAGACTTTTCCCATGCGTCCTTTACAGCGCACTCTTGTCCTTGGCCTTTTCAGCATCATCTAAAGAAGTTGGAAGGTCGACGCCTGGACTTTGATTACAAGAAGAAACGACAAGGCAAGATTCCAGATGAAGAGCTTCGTCAAGCTCTGGAGAAATTTGACGAGTCCAAAGAAATAGCAGAGTCAAGCATGTTTAATCTCTTGGAGATGGACGTGAGTGGCTCTCTTCTGTTTTTTTAATTTAATTTTATCGTAGAAGCACAAAAATAATGTGAGAAAATGCATCATTAAAATGTTAGTATCTGGTTATACCCTGTGCTAGGAACACAGAGATGGTAATTTCTTTTAAGTAATTTTAAATGATAAAGTAGATTAAGAAATGGGAAAGTGTTTTCTTCGTCCTTGGAGTTTGATTAAATAGATTTTTGTTTGCCAGTGAATGTTGGTGTATTACCAGTAGTGCAGAGATTAAGAATATTTGTGATGATCCATATATAAATACACTACTTCATAAAAGCACTCTGTGGAGATGCAGATCAGATAGACTTTAGATTATAAATGAATATTAACTAAAATACATTCAGGATTGAGTGTTCAACATAGACTAAAATGTTCTGTGTTTGGAGTAAAGCTGACATTTTCTTTGGAAAACTAATGAAGATTGATGATTCTAGCATAAGGAACACATTTGGAGCTTAGATAAGACAGTTTAGAAGCTGCATCTGTGTCTTCAGAGTACTAAATTAGTATTAGTAGCTGCTGAGTTCTTTTAGCTTCAAAACCACGAGGGCAATCTCTCCATTCTTACTCCACTCACATAATAAAACTCGTTAAGCCGGCTCTCCTGTCTGTGTTCATCTCCCCCTCCAGCCTCATCAGCTGCTGATCAGCTTCCGCTGAGATGTGGACAGATACTTTGTGTACCCAGTACTTATATTAGTCAGGGCTCTACAGAGAAGTAAAATCAACAGGACGTGGACATAAATGCAGATATAGATACATAAATACACAGACGGAGGAGGAGAAACATACCAGGGAAACCAGCTCATAAGATCTCGGGAGCTCAGAGGTCTCAGTGTGTTTCCTCATTCTGTAGAACCAGAGGGGCTGGTGTCTTGGCTCAGTCCAAGTGCAAAGGCCTGAGAAGTACCAACTTGAAGGGGTCATTTTCTCTCTGAGGCAGGGGCCTGAGAACCTGGCAGAGATGAGGAGCCCCTGGTGCAAGGCTGGGACTCTGATTTCCAAGGGCAGGAGATGGTGAATGACCAGCCTTAGGAGAGGGTGAGGGAGAGAAAGAGGAGAGAAAGAAATGGGGGAGGGCGAGTGAAAATAGGGAGAAAGAGAGAGGGAAAGAGAAAGTAACTTGGTTTTTTTTCTTTCTGGTCTTGTTCTGTTGAGGCCCTTAGCTGATTGGGTAGTGCTTGCCCGCACTGGGTAATAGCAGCTCTTCCTTCCTCTGCCCTCTGATTCAGCAGACATGGTATGCAGGCTCGGGGGTGTGAGGCAGCAGGATCACAAGTTCGAGGCCAACCTGGGCAACTTAGCAAGACCCTGTGTTCAATCCCTGGTGCCACACCCCCAAAACAATGACTTGGATGCTAGGATCTTTTGGAAGCACTTTCACAGACATACCCAGAAGTAAGGTTTTGCTAGCTAATCTTGAGAGTCCTCAGTCCAGTCAAATTGACACCTAAAATTAGCCATCACATTTTTTATCTGCTTTAAGCCTAACTTACCTTTCCTACAACTCACAGACAGTACATTCGTATTTGTATAAAACTGTATAATCAAAGGGATGCTGTGGGAAACCCTGAATTAAATGCTTCTTCCTTATACCTAGGGTCCCACCCCACCCTCAGGTTTACAGAATAATATTGCCTGTGTTATCTGGGGAGCCACTACTCAGTTGGATCACAGAACAGCACAAGACACGAAATGAAAATAACTAAGGATGCTTAGAATATTAGGGCTGGAATGGAATCAAGATACGACATTACCCAGCCTCTGCACATTGCAGATGAGGCTCAGAGAGTATGAAAGATTTTCCATCATACCATGCCGACTCCTTTGGTGCCTTATGTGAGAAAGTCAGTAGCCATGCTGTTATCCATAGCACTAATACTAACTTAGCATGAAAAGTATAGGGAACAAGGAGTCATTTGGCCAATGCATCTTTTTTCCTATAGAAAATTAATAAAAGCCACATCCTATCAGAAGAGTGCGGCTAAGCGTGAGACTATGTAATATGACTCATGTGATCTTCCTGAGGATTCTTTCTAACTTTACTGCTCCTCGTGGTGCTGATATGCGTGGTTCCTAGTGTAAGGATGCTTTCTTATCCTTAATCAGTATGGAACATGCAGAAACATCCGCCGTAGCCTGGCTTGCCTCACGGTCATTAGCATTGCCGAGCGCTAGAGTGTATGTTGGGGACAGCGCTTTTCTACGTATGGGGCAGTAGTAGCTGCTTCAGGATGGCACCCTGGTAACGGAGGCGTGATTTCTCCATCCATCTGCAGATTGAACAGGTGAGCCAGCTCTCTGCACTTGTGCAAGCCCAGCTGGAGTACCACAAACAGGCAGTGCAGATTCTGCAGCAAGTCACTGTCAGACTGGAGGAAAGGTAGGCTGCAGATCCCTGCATTTGCATTCTCTTCCTATAAAATGATGTATAAAGAAATGGAAATAATACATTTGGAGAGCACCTTCTGCCAGAATTCCTGCTGATCCTATGTAGACACCCTGTGAGTTGTTTTTATTTTGTCTTGTGTTTTGTTTTACGTTATTCTCTTGAATCTAGTCTTGTGTTCATGAGAGACTGCTGGATGCGTTGGCTGCCACAGTGGGGATACCGAGATGCACCGATGATGATGATTATGCAATTTGGTGAAGAGCTGTTCTGTGTGGAGAGTGGGTGCATATAATCGGTCTTAAAGCAGTCAGGTAGACTAAGTGTTCTTAGCCTCAATTAGCTGATGAGAAAACGGACTCTCAGAGGGGTGAAGTAACTCCTCCGGGCTTCACGTGCTTGTGCGTCTGCGCCTCACAATCAAGTATAAGCTATGTGAAAGCCTGAAAAGGAACTTCTCACACTTGGTGTTTCTGTGAATGGTAAAGTCATCCACCTGAGAAAGAGCCTTTGCACCTCCTTGGCTGTGTGCCATGGCAAGCCGTAGTACTCTGCTGTGGGACGGGGTTCTGAAGGGCTCAGCTGTGCAGCCACCCTGGACTGCATACAGGTGTTCCTTGACCAGCTTTGGGTCTTGCACTCTAGGAAACCCGAAGTCATGAGGCATTCAATGTACCTCATGTGTGGAATAAGATACGTTAGCAGCACAGTACACTGTAGTGTCCACCATTTGTACTTTTGGGTACATGGCTGGCAGATTTGTGGCTTATGGCCTTTGCCCAGCCCTGTGAGACTCTCTTTGGACTACATGTTTTAGGAGGTTGCAAGTATGCAAATCTTCCCTTCCTTTCCTTTCCTTTCCTCTCCTCTCCTCTCCTCTCTTCTCTCTCTCTTTTTCTCTCTTTCTCTCTCTCCTTCACTCCCCCCCTCGTAGTAGGGATTGAACATGGGGCCTTCTGATAAACTTCATCCCTAGCCCATTGTTAGATTTTATTTCCAGGAGGGTCTCACACAGTTGCCCAGGCTGGGCTTAGAATTGTGATCTTCCTGCCTCAGCCTCCCACAGTGCTGGGATTTCAGGTGTGAACCACCACACGTAGCTTGGGCTGCATGTTGCTAATCTGGGAAAAGAACAAACTTCGATGTATTTCTCCTGAAGTGTGTACCTGTGCGCAGTAACAAACTTTAAAAATACCGAGTCAAACTATCGTGAGGGGCTGCGTGTGTATGGCAGGTAAAGCAGTGTGATTGTGCGAAACACAAACACTAAACGGGATCACCCAGCAGCCTCTTGTTCTCAGGCTATGGCCAGGTAAGACTTTCGGAGCTGATCTTATGGCTTAAGGCACAGTGAAGACTCCACTTGGATTATGCCGCAGTATTAGAAATGTTACTATTTCCGTTGTTCCCACCTGGTCGGCCTCAGTCTCTCCTCAGCCGTGTCTGGTTAGTGCCTGGATTGTACAGTTCCCTTTGGTGCACCCTTGTGGAAATGTGCGTAACAGTGAGTCCTGTAGAATGATTAGAAAATCATAAATAATGTACAGTACTACTTCAGTTCACACACGCTTCTGTTTGCAAGTAATTTGGTTTGCAGACGAAAGCGTTTAGCAAAAGTTTGTTTCCTTTTGCAAACTCAGCACCAGGTGACAAACACAGCCATGGCTGTCTTCCCCACACAAACGCAGATGGAGCCATTCTCCCCCAAATCATGAAATGGTCTGTAACCCGAAGCACACCATTCATGTGCCTTTGTGACTTCTGTTGAGCATAAAGGGACTGTATTCCCTTTGCCCCCATCTGTGAAGTGTAGTCAAAGCTGTGCCGTTACACAGCCCGCATACTCTTACTCCTCCTAACCTTTGCAAACAGAATTTCAAAACATGGTGATAGGGTGTTAACAATGGCTGTTATATTACCTAATGTCATCTTCATAATGGTTGCATATATAACCAGATATAGGCATGCAAGAGTGATCAATTACCCATTAACAGTTCCTTTCAATAGACCAACAGATATTAATAGTACAATTATCCCAGCTGTCCTGTGTATACATATACATATTTTTCCCCTCTTCCTTCTTTCTTTTTCCTCTCCCCTCCTTCATCCCAGTTGCACCTTCCTATTTGAGCAGTTTCTTTTCTCTTTCACAATATCTATTGTACCTTTCAGATTTTATTTACTCTTTCAGTTCTTATTGTAGGGAGGAAATATGATGTTTACACATGTGAATCTGATTTCTTTCACTGTGTTGCATCTCTGATTTATTTCACTATTTCACTATGAGTGTGGTCTCTATTTACCTTTAAAAGCCTCTAGTTTATCTTTCTTTATAGCTAAGTAATACTCCATTGTACAAAAATACCACATCTTTTTTATCCATTCCTCAGTTGACGGACATTTGGGTTGTTTCTAAGATTTAGCTATTACAAATTGTGCTGCTGTAAACAGGGGTGCACATATATTCCTGTGCTATGGTGTTTTCAGTTATTCTGGAAAAATACCCAGGAGGGGAATAGCTGGGTTGAATGGGACCTCTAATCCTTGTTTACTGAGGAATCTCCAGACTGATTTCCACAGTGGGTGCACCAGTCTACACTCCCACCAACAGTGGAGAAGAGTTCATTTTTCCCACAGCCCCTCCAGCATTTGTTATGGGTTGATTTCTTGATGATAGCCATTCTTTCTGGGGTGAGGTGGAATCTCAGTGTTGTTTTAATTTGCATTTCTCGAATGACTAATGATGTTGAGCATTTTTTCATGTATTTATTTGCCATTTGTATTTCTTTGTTCATAGAAATGTGCATTCATCTCAGATGCCCAGTTTTGTATTGGGTCTTTGAGTTTTGAGGGCCTGACTTTTTAAAATTCTTTACATGTTCTAGATAGGAGTCCTTTGTCTGAGGGACAGTTGGCTAAAATTTTCTCCCAATTCGTGGGTTTTCTTTTCACCCTATTGGTGGTTTCTTCTGATGTGCAAAAACTTTCCAATAAGATGAGATCCTAGTTTTTGATTCTTTGAAGTATTTCCCTTGCAGTTTGGTTTTTGTTCATGAACTCTCTGCCTACCCCTATGTCTTCAAGGTTTTTACTTACTTTCTCTTCCAGTAGATCTAGTGTTTCTGTTTTAATATATAGATCTTCAAGCCATTTTGACTGTATTTTGGTGCATGGTGATAGGCTTGGGTCTAGTTTTAGTCTTTGGCATGTCAAAAGCCAGTTTTTCCAGCACCATTACCTTTGCAAATTTCTGGTGTTCAAGAAATATAAATTTTTTTTACTTTCCTTTATAAACATCTAAAGCTCAGGAAAATATTTGTTGGTGTGCACTATGCATTTATTGGCCACATCTTTTCCCTTTTCTTCCCTCATTCCTTTCCCCTTCCCTATATTTCAAACTGCTCACTACTTGGAGTACAGTGTCTCTTACCTCCCTTCTTCCAAATGATCTACATGAAATCCTTCGCTTCCGCATTTTCTCCTGGGATGAACTCCTTCAGATGTTTTCTGTCTTTGTATAAACTTTCACCAACCTCTTCATGGAGAAGGGGCTTCCTCCCTATCCTCACTCCCGCCCTGGGCGATAACCTGCAGACGTCTCCGTCAGCACTTACTATAACGTGTGGCAATCAGTTGTGCTCGGTCTCCTCTGCAGACTGTAAGTTGCTTGATGGCCAGAGCTCCGTCCTGCTTCCCTCTGTGCTCCCGGCATAGCACAGTGCGTGTCTGTACACGTGGCTCTGAGTGAAGAAGGGAGGAAGTGAGGGGTTAGCAATAAGGGTGAAGACTGAGGCTAAGGCCAAGCGCCCGCATGCACAGATAAGGAAACGCAGGGCGCTTCCCCACGTTTTGCACCCTGTCTTGGGTTAGATTAGTGAGTGAGACATGGTTTTCTTTTTACTTCTTGTTGGTTACAGAATCTTCTCCCTCTCTTTCCTTTCTGATGCAGGATCAGACAGGCGTCATCGCAGCCTCGGCGGGAATACCAGCCGAAACCAAGAATGAGCCTGGAGTTTCCCGCTGGAGACAGCACTCAGCCCAATGGGGGTCTCTCGCACACCGGCACCCCCAGACCTGCGGGTGAGGAGCCAGGCTGCACGTCGGTCACGGGGGCCTGGGGTACCGCTGACACTTCTCAAGAAGCTCTGGTGGCCGCCCAGCCCAAGGCTTAAGAAGTGTGCAGCCACAGTTTTCATGGGGGGGCTTGTCACAGAGAAACTCCGGAGTCCTTTTTCCTTTTCTCAGAGACCTTTCCCATCTGTACCCCTTCCTTTCCCAGTGAACTGTTCTTTGTATGAACATTTTTCTCTGTCAGTCTCAACACGCACAGGTCTCCTCGCAATCACATCTGCTTTGCCCTTGTCTTGCGGTCATAAACCACCTTAGCTCCTCAGTTAGGTAGCCTTCCCGTCTTCTCCTCCTGTGAATCAGCATGCGTGAGAATGAACGGGCCCTGGGCCGCGTGTGCCCACCCATACCCCAGACGGGGTGCGAGAACATGCGGAGCTGGGTTTGTGGGTCACAGAAGCATGTGGTTGCATACCTTTCGAAGCTGAGCCCCTGCTAGGTTTCCTTCTCCACTCCCACCGCTCACTAGTGCATGGTTCTGTGGTACTGAGGTTGACATAATAGAAACTGGATTTTATTTTCCTTAGGAGTACTGAGGCACACCCAGTAACCCATTATTTCTACCCCGTACAGAGTCACACCTTTGCTTGAAATGTTTCCAACTCCAGCTCTTGCGTGGTTAAATAAGCAGGAACTGTTTTATACCGGGTGTGGATTTTAAAGATACACAGTTTTGTCACATTGTCCTTGTATCCCCAGTGGCAGATGTTCTGCACTAGGAAACATTTTATGAGATGAGCTCAGGACACGAGGAAGGAAAAGGAAGGGTCTGAGCTGTCAGGTGGAGCTCACTGTCCTCTGTGCTCACCTGCTCTGTGTCAGCTCCCAGAGTGCTGTACAGTCACCCGTGGGTCTGCAAGTAGCTGGCTACCAGGACTAGCCATGTGCATTCTGACCATGCTGGGTTACTAACCTGCAGCTCATTATAGACTCCTTAAATCACTTGGTCTCCCGTCTCTAGGCATTGTCAGGAAGACAAGCCTTAATTAACTCTTTTGCAAATATCACAAGAGTAAATGTGACCTTTTTTCATGCTGGAAATAAAACCAGGAATATCCAACAACACCCAGAGATCTGGGGAAGCCTCAGAAAACTTGTAGGAGGCCAGGATGCCCTTCCAGTGGACGCCAGAGTCTGCCAGCAAGGGGCAGATTTCAGAGGGAGAGGAGCGAAGGAGGAAGGAAGGGGAGCAGCGCACCGTGAATACTGAATATTAAATACTCCTTGTCCTTTTGTGTTCTTCTCTCCGCTCTGACCTCCAGGTGCCCCCATGGATCAGCCCTGCTGCCGAGCGCTGTACGACTTTGAACCTGAAAATGAAGGGGAGCTGGGCTTTAAGGAGGGTGATATCATCACACTCACTAACCAGATCGATGAGAACTGGTATGAGGGGATGCTTCATGGCCAGTCGGGCTTCTTCCCCATCAATTATGTAGAGATTCTGGTTGCCCTGCCCCATTAGGATGTTACGCTGGCTGGCTCACCTCCTTCTGACCCAGGTAGCTCAGTTTAACCACTGCTTTGGTAATGCTGCTTACAACACATCTTGGGTGCAGGCTGCAGTGGACCAAGTGATCAAGGCCCACTCTTGTCTTGGGTTGACTTGTGTGCGCCCACTGGAGTCATGGTGATGGGCGGTATCTTCTGAGCCTGGTGAGCATGGCATGTGCTTCTGAACACCATCTGAGACTAGCCAGCGGTCACAGAACTGCTGTTTACATGGCTCTCAGGAGGCTGTGGTTTTTAGAATATGACCATGAGCCACATCATAGAAAAAACATCCTACTGGAAGATATTGTCTATCACCCAGAGGCCATATCAAGATCGCAAGTTCTCCATTCACGGAGGAGAAAGTTCTTGCTTTCACATTGTCCCTTCCCAAATATGTGAGTCAGAATTGTCAAACAAATCCTCCCTCACCAGCAAATTTTCTTCTGGTCTAAGTGAGTTAGTCTCTTGATGCCAGCAATAGAAAAGTATTAATTGTGGATTGAAATCATTCTTGAAAATAGCACCTTTGTTCATCCCACTTATGCCTACTTCTGCGGTACAGCCAGTTTTATTCGCTCTGTGTTATTAAAGCTAGAGATGAGATTCTCATTTATTTCTAAATATGACAGCAATCAGCATATGAAATAGGTTGGAGAGAAGAAGTCCTCCATGATGAGGAACTGGGAAGAGATCTTGTTTCCCAGCTTAAATTTCTTGCTGTACAGAAGCCATGTATATATTTAGGTATTTCTGAAGGTTAAGGGAAGGGAGACAACCATCTTCTCTTAAGTTTTATTTATGAATTGTGTTTCATGAATCTATTTGGCACAAAGAAATAAGGAGAAAACACCAGTAACCAGTTTCCCACTACTTCGTAGACCAAGAAACAGTAAATGTCTTTCACTTTTACCTTGTGTTCCTTGAACATTGTTTTGTGCATATTCTGCCCTCAATGAGGACCAAATGAAGATGATTTTTGTGCTTAGCAGTTTAAGGTTTGTGGCTGCAAATACCTTCCCAATTCAGTTGTTACTTTTTGATCTGTTCTTTCTATCCCACCTTCATTTTGTGTGTACAGTGCTGTGTGTAAGCTTATCAGTGTTGGGGTTTTTCTATGTCATGAAAGTCCTGTTAGGTATCCAGAGTTCTATTTATCTAGCTATACAGACTCTCCGAGAGGTTTAATGTGCTGCTTCCAATGTGCCACCTGCGGTAGTGGATCATGTGGAGTAAAAGGCAAATCTTACTGCTTACTGTATAGACTCACCATGGGAAGCATCGCTGTTTCCAATAAATATTGCTGAGAACAAAATCAAAGGCTGTGCTTCTTCACTTTGTGTCAGTTCTTTGGGTCTGACCGTGGGTGGATTAAAGCTTGTCTTAGTCTTGATTAGCTTCTGATGTAACCAAAGCAGATGTGGATCCAAGCCCTGTCTGTCTCACTGCAAGTAGGGAAAAGAGCAAGGAGCAAACTAGCCTGGAAACTACACCGATAGCTTCTTGGTAACCCCAGGAAAGAGGACAGTTTGGGGGAGAGGAGAGGTGAAAAAGAGATGATTTCTTGGAGTTAAAGGAGGCGCCATCCATAATGGTATCTTCAGGAGAATATAATGTTAGAAAGGGAGAATAAAACCCATCATGTTTACCAGTCTTTCCTTTCATGCGTGAAGATAAAGAAAGACATGGTGAAATGCAGCTCGATCAGAAGCCAGCGTTCTTTCTCTTGATGTGTCATTGATGTCAGAGTCGAGTGGGGTGGGAAAATTGCACAAAACACGGATTTCCCACTTTCCCAAGAGAATAGGCACGTTCCTTACGCGTTAGGGGCCCTTTGTTTTCTCCATGCCGGAAACACTATCCAGGTTTTCTAAGCTCACAGGAAGAATTTAGTGTACAAATCCTGTATGTAAATCAATCTAACATAAAAGAGTTTGCTAACTGCATGAGTTCTAGGATATTACAGATTTCTTTAAGTCACTTAAAAACATCAGTGACATTATGAATATAAAAAATCCACAAGAATTTAAACTGTTGGGAGTCCATAAGTGAATTTAATAGGACTGCTGGATATAGGATGAATATACAAAACTTGGTTTATTTCTGTATACTACTTAGAATAATGCAGTTTTAAATAGTATTATTTGCAAAATCATCAAAAAGTCAAACTCTTAGACACAAGTCTGGTAAGATTGTACAAGATCTTTACATAGAAAATAATGAAACGTGCTTGAGAAAAAATATAGACCTCATTCAATGAAGACATGTTCTCTGCTTATAGATTAGAAAAGTCAATCCTATAAACGTATTATTTCTCCCCAGATCTACCTGTTGAAAGACTGACAGCAGTTTCAGCCTAAATCTCAGGGAAACTTTTTTCTGTTTAAAAATTGACAAGTTTAGTTTTTAAGCCTAATCATAAAACATACGTGGAAAAGTCAAATGATACTTTTCTGAGAAGAACAAAGGATTTATTCTTTATAGATAAAAATATTATAAAGTTAAAGCAATAAAGCTAGCCTGTATTGATGTACCAGTAGCATACCTGGTCTGTAGACTCACTGGTGAGTCCAGAAAGAGACATACGGACATTTAACTGTATTTGGACCAGTGAAGCATCCCAGTATCTTTAATCTGGTATATTCACATCAGCTATACCTATCTAATGTTAGGTCCACAGCCCCACAGGGAGACTAACAGCAAGACTGCACAAACAGAGTACAGTAGCATCACTGTGAGTCAGTGTCAGATGACACGAAAGTGCCCCGAGCACGGGTTTCAGGAAAGACATTACTTAAGGGAGTGTGTTGGAGATCATTACTGATACTTACGAGATCACCACTGATTGAATCGCTTGTTTTTATTGAATCAAAATAAATACATTTGTACCAAATCTGATGGAAAAGATAGGCAACTCTGCAGACCACCTGGAAGTTAAACTTACCTGAAAACTTGTTCTTCAAAGTCTAATCACAGAACAAACTGTCTGAAGTGGAACTGGAAGTGGAAATGAATTAAACTGAACTAAAATTATAAGCTAAATACAAGAATTACCTATTTTTCCAATATGTTGGAAAGGCCTTTAAGTGAAAACTCTGGGAAAATAGTTTTTCCCCCTCAGTTTATCTTCACTGAAAAAGTAGAGAATGAGAGTGACATGACCAAAAACGAAAATCCCCTGGTACTGGGTATAGTAAACATATGTCCTGGAATATACCTAATCCTAGTCTGCATGCGTTGTTTAGGAAATTAGGGTTATCTAAAAACTAATTTTAAGATAGCTTCTGGTGTCCACATCATAGACCCTCTCACAGTCCGTGTTTCATTAACCAGATTAGGAGCTGTTGCTTAATGTACAGACCACCTTTAATCCCACATGGGAAGTCTTGAAGGAAGGGCTTCATGCTGAAGGGGGAGGCGGGGAGAGCTCTGGGTGCTGGCCGAGGAAGACGGCCCCACTACTGAGGACCTTTTGTGAGCCTTTAGGTTAAAGGAACTGTCAAAGACAAGAGTACAGCTGCTTTTAAGGGGCCGCTGAATGCTAACTATGTAAAGGCCAAGCCTTTGACCGTCCCCCAGCCAACACAAATACCCTGATGACGGCGGCCTTCCCTTTGTGGCCGGAGAGAGCTGTGCTTCTTGATGGGTGGAACAAATAAACTTGGGGAACAGGAGTGGAGAGTGGCACTCCATCACCATTTGCTTGAAAGGCAGGGATTTTCCAGAGTTTGGGGAAAAGCCAGAGAATCCATTTTTAAAGGCCTCTACCGGCGATTCACGTACATCTCTTAATGGAACGCCTGCCTCCATTAAGGCCTGGAAACGAGAGCCTGGGAAAGCTCCTAGAGCAGTGCCGGCAGGCGGACGGCACACATGCTGCCCTGGGCTGTTCGTATCGCTGAAAGCTCTAAAAGGCTCAGTGTCGCTGACCTAGAGTGTCCTGAACCCATGTGACAAGGAGTCACCTGGGAATAACTGTGCAAACTGAATTTCAAGCTTCTGTCCCACCTGGTGTGACTCCGAGTTGCCCATAGAGGGGCCTAGGAAGTTGTACTTAGCATTAAGAAGGTTTAGGAAAAAGTCATACATCGCACCCACAATGCTGACATGCGTGAGAGTCACCTGGGTCTTGCGCAAACAGATGCCTGGGCCCCATCCCTAGACATCCTCGGTCAGAGGGTCTGATGTGACGTTTGGGATTGACATTTTTATCAACCTCCATAGCAGTGGTGCTGATCCTTGGAATGCATTTGGAGTGGCGCCACTCTACTTGATAAATTCCTTGGGAAGAGCCAGCTGTTTCCTGGCACGTGGGACCGCCTGTGGTGGTCGGCTTGAGGAGAGGACGTGGACACATCATTCAGTTGCTTTCCCCAGGAAGCTGTTCTCTGCGCTCACACAGTGACCAGCACTCCCTTTGGAGAGGGGTACGGAAAGCCCGGGCAGTGTTTGCAGAGTTGGAAGTCTGCACTTCAGCGTGCTCTGGAGGCTGCCTCGACACATCACGGGAGTCCAAGCCAGGGTTAGAAAGCAGCTTCCCGGGTGACTCGGATCCAGGGAGGTGTGGGAAGTGCTTGTCTGAACACAAATGTCTTAAATAGGCAGCTGCTCACAGGCTTTTCTTACTTATTCTTTTCTCTGATTGTTTAAGACACTAAAATTTATTGATTGATTCTCTAACATTTGACACAGAGGTTTCCCTCATTCAGGGTGATCTTACAAATCCAGAACCTCCAGTGTTTTCCCAGCATCTACTGATGACAAAAGATAGCTTGATACGAGTCAGTGCTGACTTGGAATCCCCACCTTCTTCCTGGCCATTCCTTGCTGATTCACTGGTCACTCCATGACTCCTAAGGGAATCAAAGGCAGGGATGTCTACAGCGGTCAAAGCTTCTCACATGCGGCTACTGGCAGAGTGCTTGCTTTCATTATTTAGATCAGTGGGTCACATGCTTCTATTCAGAATCACGAAGGGCATCGTTAGAATGTCTGTTCTTGGGTCCTGACATTAGAGAATTGGATTCAGCTGCCTAATACAGGTCCGGGATCTGGATGTTTTCCAAGCATCCTGCCCCATCCCATAGTTCCTATGTGGGTGATCTCCAGTCGGAATGCTTTGACTTGTGAGCATGTGGAGGAAGGATCAGTTCAGCAGTGAAGGGAAAGAAAGACCCAGGAGGACCATTTCTGCCCCGAAGGGGAAAGAAGGAACCAGCTTCCTTGCGCTGTGTAATGCAGGTGCCTCTCCAGAGGCCGGACAGTGGAAAGTGCCGCAGAATGCACGAGCCAGTCCCTGACGTAACGTAGCCTTTTTTCTTCCAGATTTTTCTTTTCAGCAACATCAAAATAATTCTGTATGTGAGGGATAATGAGAGGAGGGAGCTGGTTCATGAGTGTGGGGAAACCTAGACTAATATACCCAAGTACCGAAAGTTAATGCCGTCTGATCTCATGCATTGACTATATTGTTGTCTTTTTTTTTCATCCTTCTTGTATTTTCCCTAGTTTTACAGGGCCTAGATTGCCCTCTGCTGGCCAAAATGTATTTAATCCATTTTTTAAAAATCTAAAACTTCCCTTTGATAATAGTCTGAATATTTGCTTTCTAGGTCCATTTCTGGCACTTTCTTAGCCTGGTACTGTGGTCCAAGGAAGCCAGGACATTTCTGTTTCTGGCACAGTAAGCCAGCCAGTACAAAGGTACATTATTGATGTGTCATCCTGCTTTGGCCACTAGTGCTTGATAGTAGTGGAATAACTGAGAAGACGTATTCTGTTGGAGAATGAAAGGAGAAGTATTCATCTGTCGGTTCTTGTCCCCACACTTCGGAGGTTTGCATGACTGGATATAGGACGAGGTTCCCAGGAAGCAAGGCCAGCACTGCCTTCTCTACAAGCCAGGGGAAGCGTGCATGGGTGTGTGCCGCAGCCTGGCAGGAATCTGGGCAGAGAGGACTTTGGAGTGAGGCACGCTATGCACCCTACTTCCTGTGCTGTGTCTGGCTCCTGCCCAACCCGTTTCTGCCAGACCCTCTGTGGCTTCTGCAACTCTGATTCTGCCGCGTTAGGGGAAGCCCCTTTCCTAGAGGCGGTATATTCTTGCTGGCACGTTCTGAGCTCCTGAGCCAGCTCACTAAGTATCCCTTTGCTGAGGTTCGGCACCTGGTTCAGCCACCTGGCACAGCCCTTAGAGGTGCCTTTTCAGCCTCAGGATTAGCTCGCTGTCCTAGCTTTGATCAAGGTGGCATCAAGGCTTTGTTTCCATTCGTCCCATTTTGTACGGCCTCATGGGGGAGAGCTGGGGAATGGTCT